TGCTTTTTTGTTGAGTATTTGCAAAAATATAGCAAAAGCGCAACAAATATCTTACTCATTGAGTATTTGCTGCCCTTTTCAAATACTCAGTAAAAGGGCAGCAAAATAGCAACTAATATGCAATTAAAATTGTGTATTAGATGCTTTTTTTTTCAAAAAAAATTTTATTTCCTATCCACAACACCAAATCAACGTCCGCACTTAATACCCAATCATCGAATATTCTCATTTTCATTTCTTTTTGGCAGTGAAGGTATTTTCATCTTCTCTCTCGGTGATTGATAAACAACATCGACGCCTGACTCTCGACATCCTAATACTAATCATTTTAAACACAAATTCTAGTTAAATGACTTATTATTTTCAAATTATTTTTAAAAATATATTTATTTAAATTTCTACACTATTTTTTAAATATAAAAACTATAATACCGTGTCCGTGCCTATATTCTCAATAACTGATGTGTCCTGTGTCCGTGTCGTGTCGTATCCGTGTCGCCGTGTCCGTGTCTGTGCAGCATAGTTCTAGATTAGCTAGTTATTTTTAAATTGTGATTGTATTGTGCGATATGCAAGATGGAAACCAGCCTAGTACTTCTCAAGTCCTGATTTCTTATCTGAAAGACCTTAGGAGTATTCTTGAAATTTGTTTTAACTTAAAGGTTGAGGGGATTTTCTTTTGCTTTCTGAATTATGCTTATATTGGTTCTTTACCATTATAATAGAGAAATCATATGAATCTGATAATTTTGCAACTAAATTAGGTGTTGAACACTTGCTTTTAGCTGCTTTTCTGATTTGTTACATTGAAGCTAGATTCAAATAACTATTGTGATGTTAAACTTAACACTTTTTCCCCTGTTTTGTATAGTTATTTTGTTGAACTCATCTTAGTTGTTTCTTTGTTTGTTTTATAAAGATTGCAGGGTTTTTTTGGAGAGGTTTCATTGCATTCTTCTGGTTCATTTACTGTTGAAAAGTGTTTTACTGCAAGCAATATCTCCATGAGAGAGGCAATAGCAGCAGAGCTTCTGAATGTGCAGCCTGAGCTATCCATGACAAAGCATGGTCCGTACTTGTTAAGGAAGCTAGATATTGAAGGGCAAGCATTTTATCCTTTTCCTTTGGTCATCTCAACTCAACTTGCATCAATTTTTTTTTATTCTGCTTATAGATTATTTTTCTATAATTTTCTACTCCCATTGGAAGTAGTTTAACTTCAGATTTTATCTTTGGTTAGGCTTTAGGAGCTAAAAGAATGAATGAACATGAAAAAAAAAAAAAAACTTGAAGCAATGGACGTTTTTATCTTCTACTTGTAGGTTTGGTAGAAATCCCGAACAGTGGAAATCAAGCCAGGAGTCAAAAGAAACTACCTATAGGGACTTCCTAGCTGCATTTGGAGACAAAGACCAAGCTACGATAGCGCCAGAATTTTTGCCGAAGGATTCCCAAAAGAAGCGTAGAAGGCAGGAAAATATAACTGGACATAATAATTCAAGAATAGAAAATTATTCAAGCCCAATAACTCTTCGGTTTGGTAAGGAGGGACTTTCTTACGGTGGCAAGCATGGCAACAATAGAAAAAGCTCTTCGGGTTCCCATGCTGTGAAGTTTCTATCTGGAAGGAGTTTTGCAAGGAATAGCATTAAGCCAGCTATGCAATCCAACAAGACAAAATCATCAACTTCTGAGCTTGCCGATCTGGCTCTTAAATCCAAGCTTAGTTCAAGTGATGTTCAGAAGCTCTTTGATCCAAAAACTTTGGGGGACAAAAAACAGCATGCGATACCTTTCCTGAGGAAGCCTAATAAGAGGTAATGCTTCGTCATTTTTGGTTATGTTTCAAGTTATTTAGCCATTGCAACAGAAGCAGCAGTGATGCATCCTTAATGTTTTTCTGCTGTATTTGCCTTATTTGAACTTTGTATTCATCTTGTTAATGTTAATTGATCTCATTAATTCTTCAATAGCAAGTGGTTGAGATGAAACTTATTTGGTTGGAAAGAAGTGGCTTCAGGCAAAGAAAGTGAGCTGGAGATCTTTTTTTTTTTTGGGTAATTCATTCCTCCAATACAGTAGCAAATCAAATGTCTTTTCTAACCTTCCAGTAAGAAAGCCATCCCAAATGAAAACTTAAGATTCGTTTGGAACAGCTTTGTTAATGCTTTCTAAAACAATGTATTTAGTTAATTTTTTTTAAATTAGAAATGTTTGTACTAAAAACTGTTTTAGAAAGCAATGAAAAAGCTGTCCCAAATGAAATCTTAGGCTTCGTTTGGGTTTCGTTTGGGACGGCTTTCTTACTGCTTCTTAAAGCAGCTTTTTAGTACAAAATTAATTTTTATCAGACATAAAGTATGATGACTTTAAGGGAAGAAAACAATATATCCTCTGTAACTATTTTGAATTTTTATGCTTTAACATCTTTATCAGTTAAAATGGGGAAAGATAAGAAGAAAAGATTACTAAAACACCCTAAGATTTTATACGGTCATTGTTGAAGGCCATCACTGTCAGTCAGCCTACCAAATTCTGCCTATACGTTGATAATGCAGCCATAATTAGCAGCCAAAGATTAATTAATTTTATTGATTACATATGATATAGGGTTGTAAATGAGCTGTATTTTTCCTTAATCGAGTCCGGCGCATTTAATTTATAATGAACCCGAACTCGAGCTTGATCTTGAGTTCGAGCTCGGCTTGATTGAAAATATGAGGCTTGAACTCGACTCGAATGCTCGGTAAGAAAGTTTTTTGTTGATAAATAATTGAGCTAGTATTAAGTTATGAATTGGGTGATGTGACGTATTTTGATTGGCCTCCAAAATTTATCGTCCCCACTTCCCAAGAGAGTAACAATAACCATTAGAAGAAAGCAGACATAATGACATTTTGGCATTTAGTTTTCATGTTAAGAGGATTGATGTAAGCATAATTAAGTTTGGTTCCATCTTATCAAACTTTGTAAGAATGAAAGGATACAGAGCAAGTGAAGCACGGCATCTGATCAATGATATTAATTTATCTTTGGCTTCTAATTTTGGCTTAATTAATTACTAAACTTTGCAGAATTGACTAAGCTGACAGTGATGCTATTAAAGCTTTGAGTATCTAATTAATCTTTGTCTACTTCTCTTCTACTGTAAAACTGATAGGTGTTGGCACCAAAGGCAAAATATTTATCTTTAAGTGTCTGAAGTGAGTAAGAGGAGTCGAGCTCGAACACAATTTCGAGCTCGAAAGAAAGTTTTTTGTTGATTTGTTTTGGAGCTGCATTTGTTTATTTGAATCTGGAAAATAAATAATTAATTGAGCTAGTATTAAGTTATGAATTGAGTGATGTGGCGCATTTTGATTGGCCTCCTAAATTTACCGTCCCCACTTCCCAAGAGGTAACAATAGCCATTAGAAGAGAGCAGACATAAAGACATTTTGGCATTTAGTTTTCATGTTCAGAGGATTGATGTAAGCATAATTAAGTATGGTTCCATCTTATCAAACTTTGTAAGAATGAAAGGATACAGAGCAAGTGAAGCACGGCATCTGATCAATGATATTAATTTATCTTTGGCTTCTAATTATGGTCTAATTAATTTACTAAACTTTGCAGAATTGACTAAGCTGACAGTGATGCTATTAAAGCTTTGAGTATCTAATTAATCTTTGTCTACTTCTCTTCTACTGTAGAACTGATAGGTGTTGATACCAAAGGCAAAATATTTATGCTTAAGGGACTGAAGTGAGCAAGAGAAGCGGCTTACGAAAAATTTTCAAATATCCATTGTATCATCTTCCTCAAACAATCATCCATGTTCAACAGTTTTTTAAAAGTCGCATAATCATTAGATTACTCGTAGTGTGAGAGGTATTATCAATCTTCATGATGGTACACATTCTAGTTCAGAATCTCAAAGATGGCTCGTGTTGATCACCACACCAAAGAGAATGCTAGATCTAATATTATTTATGAAAAGATATCAACATTTTACTAGAGAAATTGATCGAGCTAGGGGTTCAACAAGTCGAGCTGGAACACAATTTTGAGCTCGACAGCTTAGCAAGCCCGAGTTTGAACACCCAGTTGCTTGACGAGCTCACGGGAAGATGAAACGAAGTAGGCGATAATCAACGGACGCAGGAAAAATTATATCGCGGGAAAATGAAAACCTCGGCTCGTTTGGACGATGCAGGTGAAGACGTGAATGCCGCTCAGGCGGACGATGCAGGCGCTTAGGCTGACGACGCAGGCCCTGAGGTGGACGACTCAGGCGGACGACACAGGTGGACGATGCGGGGCTTGTGCTGGCGAGAAGGCGTGGACGACACAGGCGGAAGACGTAGGGCTCGTTAACAGGCTCGACGAGCTCCTTTTCCCTTGCCTAGTCGAGCTCGACTCGAATTTGAGCTCGAGCTCAGTATTTGACAGTCGAGTTCGGCTTGAACACATCTTGACTAGAACTCGACTCGACTCATTTGCACCCTTAGATCAAGCCCAAAGAAGAAACATAAAATGGTACAGTTAAGTCCAATGATTTTCTTAGTGAATTTATCTACAAAAGACCCAATGAAACCACTTTGACAAAGAAAGTCAAGTCAAGCATTGTTACAAAGAAAGTATTTAAAGAGAAAATAAGATCTCACCAGAATCCCAAAAATATTTTATGTGAGAGTTTGATATGTTAAAATATCCACTCAAAGTTAGATATTTCATATGCTCGCCATCACTAAAAAATAAATGGACGACTTGCTCTCTGGACAGATTTCGTACAGACGGATCGTCCCGACGCTCCAGGTTCGTACAGACGAAAATGACAGATTTCTTCACAAATTTCTTCAGTTCGTCCAGTACTAAATCCAATTCGTACAGACGAACTGCACTAAAAAAAATCAGCTTTTTAAGGGTTTTACACAGGCAGACGATGCAGGCGCTTAGGCGGACGACTCAAGTGGATGACGTAGGCGGACGATGCGAGGCTTCTGCCAGCAAGAAGACGCGAATGACACAGGCGGAAGAAGCGGGACTCAGTATTTGACAGCTCCTTTTCCCTTGCCTAGTTGAACTCCAGCACGACTTTTGAGCTCGAGCTCGAGCTCAGTATTTGACAGTCGAGCTCGGCTCGAACACATCCTGACTCGAGCTCGTTTCGACTCATTTGCACCCTTAGATCAAGCCCAAAGAAAAACATAAAAGGTAAAACTAGGTCTCAATGATTTTCTTAGTGAAATTATCTACAAAAGACCCAATGAAACCACTTTGACAAAGAAAGTCAAGTCAAGCATTTTTTTTTTAAGTCAAGTCAAGTCAAGCATTGTTACAAAGAAACAATTTAAAGAGAAAATAAGATTTCAAGAGAATCCCAAAAAGATTTTATTTGAGAGTTTGATATGTTAAAATATCGACTCAAAGTTAGATATTTCATATGCTCGCCATCACTAAAAAATAAATAAATAAAAAAATACATAAAGATAATTCAATATAACTAGTTGTATAGTTGGTGAGTTGGAGGAATAGTCAATTTCTATTTAAGAATTTTGCGTATGTTACGTATTAAGATAATTTAAGAGAGAATAGCTAAGCGAGTAGCCTCAATTAATAGGAGACTTCATGATCCTCTTAGAACAACAACTACATGAACCGATAAAGCTTCGTCTGGGACAGTTTTTTTATTGTTTTCTAAAGCAGATTTTCTAGTAAGAAAATTTCCCGTACAAAAAATTTTCGTACTAAAAAACTATTTTAGAAAACAGTAAAAAAGTTGACATAAATCAAATCTAAGTAAAGAATTTGGTCAAAGATTTCTCTTTAATGTAAACCTAAAAGGTTAGGAGTCCTTGCCAAGAGAATGACATAAATGAGGAAGGATTCATGGCACCATAACCCTTTTTCAAAATGTTATAAAGGCATATTCCTTCAGAAGTCAACATACATTATCCTGCCTTGCATTTTTCCAAAAGCAAGACTTTAAGATTAGTGCAACTTGATGTTGATGAACTGTGAAAAAATATATCATACTTTTTGAGTTCTGCTACTTCTAAAATTTTTTTGTAGCAATATCAAAATCCTACTTGCAAGACTTATATAGTTCTAATTGAATAATAAGTAGAGAGAGAAATGGTTCTAGAGAGAGAAGGCTAACGAATTTTATTGCGAGCACAAGATATATAAACTAGTCATATGTATGAAAAATAATTCTTTGACCATATAGCTTTAAGAAGCTACATATTAACCTCATAATAAATAAATAAATAATACATGACAATATAAATATACATGCATGGATACAATAGTGAGAGCTCTACCAAGTATATTTGGATATGATGTGGTTTGAAAATCAAATAGTACACTTGGATAGTTCACTATGTGAGTGACTGAGAGAAGTTATCGACTAGGAAGATGAGATTAAAGGCCTTCAAAAGGATGAATTATTTTGTGCGGACGCCGAACACCGTCAGAGTCCAATGAAAATGCGCCACGTCACCCCCTACTCAGTACCACGGCTCGGTACTGTTCTGTACTAAAGACGTGGCTGCACCTGATTCACCTCTGAACGGTATGTCGTGTCCGTTGTCTGTACAGAATAATCTCTCCTTCAAAAGAAAATGTAGATTTGTTGATGAAGTCGCGGGCTTTGGATAGATAGACAAGGGTGAGCAACTTTTGTTGATTGGATGAGTGGCTAATTATGGCTGCATTATCAACGTAGGCAGAATTTGGTAGGCTGACAGTGATGGCCTTTAAAAATGACGGTACAAAATCTCAGTTTGTCTTAGTAATCTTTTCTTCTTATCTTTTCCCATTTTAACTGATGAAGATGTTAAAGCATAAAAATCCAAAATAGTTACAGAGTATAGATTGTTTTTCTTCCCTTAAAGTCATCATATTTTGTGTCTGCTAAAAATCCTAAGCCAACCGACATTGTTGCCTTCCTTTGATAATTCCAACAAGATGCATTCAGATATATGTTGCCATTGTAATTGATTTATTTAATT